CTTAAAATTCAAAAATTAGCTGGGCATGGTGGCATGCGCCTATAGTCCCAGCTACTTGGGAGGCTGAGGCAGGACAATCGCTTGAACCCGGGAGATGGAAGTTGCATGAGCCTAGATCATGCCACTGCACTCCAGCTTGGAGACAGAGTGAGACTCCATCTCAAAACAAACAAACAAACAAACAAAAAACAAATAAACAAACCAAACACCCAAAGAGCCACCCAGGCAGCAATCTCTGCTGGTATAGAGAGCAAGGTCCCTGAATTCACTGGCCAGTGCAATGAACCCACTGTAAATTGGGCCCCAATATCTCCTGCTATGCACCCCCAACATAGGTTCTATAAGTTTGGACTTTGTCTCTTCAGTTCCTTAGAAAAGTACATAATGTGTTCTGTGTACAATGGATGTATAGCAAACTAATTAGGGCCAAAGTAGGCTTTGATGAAGATAATTCTACTCAAGCAGAAACTCAAATGTGCCCTATAATATAGCTAGAACGATATAGCTAGAACAGGAGGAAAAGGAAAAAAAAAAATCTCGTCTTTGCTCTAACATCTTTACTCAACTTGACATATCTTTATACATCCAAACTGTGATAGTTTCTCTCATACATGTTGAATAAGCAAAATCTAAAAATACTTCCAATACCAAGAGTTAGAAAGGGTAAAGAGCAACGGGAACTTATATCCTGTAGGAAGGAGCTCACACTGGCATAAGGCTGTTGGAGAGCAATTCCGCAGCACCTAGGGAAGCCAAAGACATGCATACTCTATTCTATTCCTAGGTATTTGGCCTAGAAAAAGTTTGCCCATTTTTACAGAAAGACAAGTCAAAGTTTTCATGGCAGCATTGTTTATAATACACAAAAAATGAAGACAGGTGAATGGGTACATTAATTGTGATTTAGTTGCTGTGCATACTTACTGCACAATACTAAAATAACTTCTTAGATCAACATGCAATTCCTAAATTAACAAAGTTAATATCAAAAACATAACGTTGAGCAAAAATAGCAAGATGTATGATAGGTACAGTAAGTTCCCATTTATACACAATTTAAAAATAGGCAAAGCACTATTTTTAGTAGCCCTATTAGTGCATTTATGCACAGAGAGCAAAAATATAAAAACATGCCTGGGAATGAAAAGACATCACATTTAGAAGAGAGATTATCTCTGGAGAAGAAAAGAGACAGGATTTAGGAGGGGTACACCAGGAGCTTTTGTTGTATCTATAATGTTTTCTTTCTTTTAAAAATCTGAAACAAATAAAAAATATTTTTATCTAAAATGGGTTTTGTCACTTTTGTTTGCTTTTCTGTGTACTTAAAATATATCAGAGGTTGAAAAAGAAAACAAAGCATGATGGCTTAGCCATGGATTGGTCTAGATATCCAGGAATCTGAGATGGGAGGAAAAACAAAAATCCATCTACTGTTTTGGAGCATTTTAGTTATTTTTATTCATTTATTTATTTTGAGACAGGGTCTCACTCTGTCATGCAGGCTGGAGTGTGGGGTACCATCACTGTTTACTGCAACCTTGACCTCCTGGGCTCAAGTGATCTTCTTATCTCAGCCTCTGGAGTAGCTGGGGCCACAGGCACACACCACCACACCCGGCTAACTTTTTAAATTTTTGTAGAGATGAGGTGTCACTATGTTGCCAAGGATGGTCTCAAACTACTGAGCTCAAGTGATCCTCCGGCCTCGGCCTCCAAAAATGCTGGGATTACAGGTGTTAGCCACTGCTCCTGACCCTATTTTAGGCATTTTAAACAAGCCTGATGGCCATCACAAACTCTTGGCATGGTGCCAAGCCAAAAGTAAATACAGGCTAAATATTGAAGAATAAACAAAAAAAACCAATAAAGTAATGAACTGAATGGGTTGCTATACATGCCTTTGGTTAATGGAAATAGAAAACAATAATTACCACTGATAATTTGAAATTCAAACCACTTCTAAATGTGGGTCCATGGACAGCTCTGAAAGACATCATTAATTAAAAAAAGATTGAAAACAAGTGGGCAAAGAAACCCCTGAATACTTTAAGATCCTTAACATTCCATGTTTTTTCTTTTTTTCAGAGCCAGGCATAGCACACTCATCTCATTCTTGTCACCTAAGGACCAGGAGGAGTTCATTGCCATAACAGACCCCAGGACGCTGCCCACAGCCTGACATATCAATAAGTCTTTAGATATCTAAGTGAATTAAAGAGCTCTTCTGAGCCTACGTGAAGAATTCGCAGCACTTTTCTGCTCTGTTCACTTGGTTGACTGGGTACATTAAGATTCTAAATCATTCTGTCTTCACGAATGTAGGTTTGTCCCTTTGGGGACAAAAAATTTCCAGGATGATAACCATGATTTCAAACTCCTGATCATTACAGGGGAATATACAGGCTTGAGGAAATCAAGCAGAAATCTACTGCCAGACGTTTTTGCCATTATTGATTTTTTTTAAATTCCAAATGAATTTTAAAATAACCAAAACAAGATACATGGCACATTCATCTAAGCCTAGTAATTAAATCCAAAAAAGCAGTTCATAGTAGTTTAAGCAAAAAGAATAATTTTAGAAAGTACCACAGGCCTCCACTATTTGAAATCAATTAGTTTTTTAGTTTCCTTATGTTACTAAAATATTAATTGACTTTTAAATATAATCCTGAAGCTTCCTTGGAAATACCTTCTTCAAGGAAAGGGGCATATATTTATAGTGTTCTTTTAAAGTTTAACAAAAGAAGGATTCAAACTGAGTTACCTCCACTCTGCAAAGTCTTTTTTCAAATGTGTAACAGGATCTTACTGCAGTCACTCGGTCTGCTCGCCACACAAAGAAAGACTGGAAAGCATTTGTGTTATGCTTCTGGAGTTAAAAATGAAGACGCCTTTTTGTTTCCATCAGTTCTTTTTTATTAATAAGGTGGCCACACCAAGTCAGAAATTATAACCATCTGCTTTAGCCATTAAATACAGATTCAAAGGCCTAATGATAAAGTGACCTCTTTATTAATAACAGAAAGCGACAAGTAGCCATTTTCCCAGAGTGTTCACGGAAATAAATCAATCTGTAGGTCCAGGTATCGGCTGCATCGGTTTTCTCTTCGATTTGGCTTTTATTGTTTTGAATCACTCAGGAAACAAAACAGGGAGCTCAGGAAGTACCTTTTCCATGAGTTTTGTTTTTACCTCTGCTCTTGATGAGATGCCACTTAGCCCACCTCACATAACTTGAAGACACGATCTTTGATTCTCCACATCACAGAAGAATCATCCCCACGCACCATCTAACGAGTGAGTAGACACACGGGACTTATCAGCCGCAGGGAGCATATCTGAATCAAAGCCTCAAACAAAGGTGTGTAGGAAAACCACAGCTCTGTCAAAGGAAACAATAGTGGAATCACTGCAGCTGTATTTTAAAATGGTAGGAACACAGCCCCTTGCTTTCTTTAATTCACATATTAGAATTTTAATTATCAAGTTGCTAAAGTGCGGTGGCTTTCAATTGAAGTGGGTTTTATCGACCCAGTCTCACGGGGCAGACAGAAGTCCTTTGTTGCGCTGCCAGATGCACAGAGACGCCAGCATGGCACCATCCACGTCCTCTGCCTCAGATCCTTCTGGCAGGAAGCCTCTACCACCACCTAGAGCACAGGAGTCTCTGGGAGATGAATCTCCCTGGCCCTTGTCCAAGGGGCTTTATTACTGGAAGAACCAGAAAGATCCCTTTACAAACCTGATCTTTCTCCTTGCCCAATCTATAGGCTGGTACCAGAAGAAACAGCAGAAGACTGAACTGCTATGATGGAAGTCGGCCGTGAAGGATGAGTAGTTCTTGCGGGGAATACTTTGTGAAGGCTGTGAACACTGCTGTCCCACCACAGGGAGAATGTCCCCCCAAGTTCTGTCTTTACTACACAGTTGAAACCCTCTAGAAACACACAACACCAAGGCACGGAGCCAGCATGTACAGCCCCAACACCGCTTGCTCCTCTCCCTGGCTTCCTGTTCCCCAATTTCCCCTCGCTGTTTCCCTCACTCCCACCACTCTGGAGAAGGCAGTCACCATCTGTCAGGGGGAAGAAGGCCTCCACAGGGCTGTGGGGACAGAGGCAAGAACACCCGACTGATAGTTCAACAGAGGCCCATGGAAGCCAGCCTGGAGGAGACAGTCGGGCAGCTCTCGTAACCAGCCAAATCCTACAGATCCCGCTTAGCGACTTCACCTCCAGGGCCCATGTCCTGTAGTCAGTAGAGTCCTTGCTCTGCAGTAACATGCTGTGCCTCATTAGGAGTGTTAGTGAGCTTCTCGAAGCCTCACTATTCTTCCTCATAAAATAAGAGTGCAGAGTTAGGTCATGTCAAAAGTCCCTTGAAGGCGTAGGATTCTATAACGTTACATCACTTCCTTTATCTATTGCCTCAGTTCCCCCAAGTATCGAGCCATGCAGTTGCAGATGATTTTAAGTCCCTTTCCAACACAGAGGCTCTATGATTCCGTTGATGAAGCCAGATCACAAGCAAGGATCATGCTCTTAATCTCAGTGGCTCTTTCTTTGCCAAATAATGATAGGAATGTACTTCAGCTGAATGCCCGCATCTCAGCTACCAGTACATCTGGTTGGGAAACCTACAGCTACTTCTATCTGCCCACTTGCCAACACGGAAATCTTCAAACAAAGAAAGGATGATTCATGGCATCTTTAATAGGGCCCCCACCTTGACATTAAATCTTGAGCTGAGGTTATCGAAAACAGCAAGTATACAAAGAACTTACTCACAGCCTGAGAGCAAGCCAGAGACTGTGCAGGTGGCTGGAGGGAAAATTGACAAGAGTTACAAAGAAAAGGTGCATTGAGTTAATAGAAAATAACTCTGGTATTGAGGAACAGGGGCTGAAAACAGATGTGAGGGGCAGGCCTCATCACGAGGAGTGAAAGCAAGAACCACAGCTGATTTCTTAAACACACACACACACACACACACACACACACACACACACACACACACACACACACATTCTGTCTCTCTCTCGCAAATAAAAAATATAAAAAAATATAAAATTCACTATGCTGGCCCCAGGGTGTGGGTTGCAGTGCCCTTCAAGGAATATTGTAGAGCTGAAAACTGATTAGACATGGCACCCAAAAACCAGTATTCCAGAAGAAGTTTGAAGCTAGAGATGGCAGTTTCACATACTAGAGGAGGTGCTGATTGTAAAAACATAAGTTCAGGCTCCATCTAAGCTTCACGATCTTTTATAAATTACTAAATCTCTACACCAAATTCCTCATCTGTGAAATGGAGACTACAAATATCCAGTCTATCCAAAAATAGATATTTAAAGCAGGTAAAATACATACAAGTATCTGGGGCACAGCAGACACTTCCAAAAGTTGGAAGTTACTATGAAGATGCATGCAGGTATCACAGATCAGAACACAATAGTGGGTCAATGCAGAGAGACAAACAGAAATCAAAAAAAGGCAGGCAGTGGCAAAAAAAGGCAAAACAGTGGGTTATGGGTTGAAACAGGAACCTAAAAGAAATTCTCCAGCATCATCACTTTTAATAAATACCTACTGATGTTACTGATGTTAAGGAGAAGAAAGCAGATTGCCAGATGAGTGATAAAAGATGACCTCACTTATTGAAAGAGAAAGAGAAGCAAAAACATGAAGCCAAGGAAGACAGATTATAGAGACGTACTCCAAATACTATTATAATAGTAGTTATCACAACTACTAGTAGGGTTACTTCAGGTTTTTTTGTTTGTTCATTTATCAATATTTTCCAAATACTTGTTTTTATTTCAAAGTTAATAAAAAATGGCACCTTAAACATTTCATAATAGGCCCTGAGTAGCTGTTCTTTCAGGGAAGCTGAAGCCCTGGAGGAGATCATTGGCATTCTGAAATCGAGGCTGTGCTCTAATTATTTGAAAGTTCTTAACACATGTATGGAGAAACTCACCCAGTCTATAAATATATGTAGAAGGCCTTCTTAATTCAAAAGTATGACATTAGACATTTCAGGGAAAAAAAAAAACATAAACTCCCAAAGAGTCTCCATCTCATTAGGGAATTAGACATGCTCACATTAAATTATAACTCACAATGCAGGGTGCACTAATGTAACAATGAATTCAAGAAGAGTGATTTGAGCCAGGCTGAGGACAACTGGAAGACTTCAAAAGGCGGGAAAAAGTCACTTTCTGTTGCAGAGACAATTTAATTAAAAAGAAGCTCCTTTCTACCCCCTCCTCCAGGTAATAGAGAATTCATTGTATTCCGAGGAACTGAAGATCTTACAAGAAGGCAGATTGCATGACCTTCCAATTGCAATAGATTCTTTCAGGAAAGGGAGTAATTAAGATTGCCTAAAAGGGGCTGCTTTATTTCATTGAGGAGGTAACTTTAAACAGGCTGCCTCACCACATGCACCACACTCAACAAGCAAACTCCCTACACTGGACTCCTATAGGGCCTAATTCTCACCTCAGCCCCAACTTTACCCAGATTCTCTCACCTGTTATTATTAAGCTACTTAGCTGCCTTCCACCCTTCATCCCTAGACCCCAAATACCCTAGCAGACTGTGAATTCCTTTTGTTCTTTCGTGTACTCATCCACCATTTTCTTCAACACATGCTATGTGCTAGCAACACAAAGACAAATAAAACAACCCCCATCCCCATAAAGTTAATAGTCTAGCAGCAGTAACTGACTTATTAGTAGATATTTATAGCTCAATGGCCGACATGTGCATGGAGCATCCAAGAGAAGGAAGAGGATGTGCCTAACCAGCGTGAAGCCTGGCAATAGGGTTTGGAGGACATTGCAAGAAGAGTGGGTGGCAGGAATAAAGGCACTAACCATGGTGAAAAGGGACACAGAGTGAGCAGAAAACCATGTAGCCTGATCTTAAAGTGTGAGGCAGAGAGTGGAAAAACACAACCATACCAGCCAACATTTACCGAGGGCTAACCCTGTGTGAGCTGATTAATTCTCACCAACCCATGAGGTAGGTTTTATCATCCTAATGTTAGCAATGAGGAAACGAGGCTACAAAGGTTAAGCCACTGGGGCAGTAAAGGAGATAATCACTCTGATATGCTGCCCTCCTAAGTCTAGACGGATCAGCAAGGGCTGGTCTGAAAATCCCTTTGGTATCATGCTAAGGAGCTTGGGCCTTTCCTATAGACAACAGGCAGGCAGTAAATGGCTTTAAGCAGGAAAGAGTCAGATCTGTGTCTCAGGAGGCTACTTCAGCAAGGTGTGGAGGACTGATATGAAGAGGGACCCACCCAGACTGAGGGAAATCAGCTAAAAAGTTGTTGCAGTCTTCCCATGAGCAATGTGCAGCCTCATCTAATGGTGCAAAGAAGGAGCAGAGGGCAGTCGGGTCCCGGCAGCGGCTGCAGAGCTCTCGTCTTCTGCGGCTCTCCGAGCCCTCTCCTTTTCGCTTCCGGAAACATGGCCTCCGGTATGGCTGTGTGATGGTGTCATGAACATGTTCAACGGCATGAAGGTGCGTAAGTCTTCAATGCCAGAGGAGGTGAAGAAGCACAAGAAGGCAGTGCTCTTCTTTCTTGGTGAGGACAAGAAGAACGTCATCAAGAAGATCCTGGTGGGCAATGTGGGCCAGACTATCGACAACCCCTGTGCCACCTTTGTCAGGATGCTGCCAGATAAGGACTGCCACTACGCCCTCTATGACACAGCCTACAGAACCAAGGAGAGCAAGAAGGAGGACCTGGTGTTTATCTTCTGGGTCCCTGAGTCTGCGCCCCTTAACAGCAAAATGACCTATTCCAGCTCCAAGGACGCCATCAAGAAGAACCTGACAGGGGTCAAGCATGAATTACACGCAAACTGCTATGAGGAGGTCAAGGACCGCTGCACCCTGGCAGAGAAGCTGGGGGGCAGTGCGGTCATCTCCCTGGAGGACAAGCCTTTGTGAGCCCCTTCTGGTCCCCTGCCTGGAGCATCTGGCAGCCCCACATCTACTGTTGGGGGTTGCAGGCTGTTCCCTTCCTCTCAGACCTGAAGGGCTGGGGAGGATCCCAGCAGAGGGAGTGCAATCCCTTCACCCCAGTTGCCAAACAGACCCCCCACCCCCTGGATTTTCCTCCTCCCTCCATCCCTGATGGTTCTGGTCTTCCCAAACTGCTTTTGATCTTCTGATTCCTCTTGGGTGGAAGCAAATCAAATTCTCCGCAGGCACCCCAGTTGTGGGAGTGGCCTGTATTTTTTTTAACAACACCCCCACTCCCCACCTGTTCCTCCCCCTTCCTATGCTGCCAACTTCTAACCGCAGTAGTGACTCTGTGTTTGTCTGTTTAGTTCTGTGTATAAATGGAATGTTGTGGAGATGACCCCTCCCTCTGACAGCTGGTTCCTCTCCCTTTTCCCCTGGTCACTGCTACTCATGGAAGCAGGACCAGTAAGGGACCTTCGATTAAAAAAAAAAAAAAGAAGAAGAAGGAGCAGAGGGAACAGATGCAAGAAGTATTTGTTGGGAGACATTCTCCATGAGTCCCTTCGGTTTCTGCACATCTCGTGAGCAAAGCACAGGCTGCCCTTGGTTCCAGACTAACTTTTCAAAGATGTTTATATGGAGAACAGCCTTGGAAGAAATGATCTCCCTCTGGAGCAAAGGTGAAGCATCTTTGTTACCCAATATAAAAGATTTGGTTTCCTTAAGTTCAGAATTCCTCTCCTGTAACACAATGCACTGCATGTATGGATGTCACCTGGTTGTCTTATTGACATCCTATGGGAGTTGGGTCTTGGAGAAACACTCTGGGTATTGCTATTGCTATTGCTATGACTAATAAAGTTCTTTGTCTTTAACCCAGGAATCCTTAGTCTTTTGCCAGCATCCATGTAACTGTGGCAGGCAAGTTCATTTGCAAGTAAGATAAAGTCTCAAATCCTTCACAGTTCTTGATGATATTTAGGGGGAAAAAGTCAGCAGGATTGGTGAATGGCCAAATGTAGAATGTTAGGGAGAAAATGGAATCAAAGATTACTTGTGGATTTTTTGTTTGTTTGAAGGTTGAAGTTTGGACAGTGGTGTGAATGGTTACTTTAGACAGTGGTGTCACCAACAGAGGTGAAATATATAACAGGTACAAGAATGTAATATGTAGTGAGGCATAGTGGGTGCTGAGGATGAGATAATAATTCAGTCTGGAGACCTATGAGACATCCATGTGGAAGTATCCAACACAGAGATGAATAATGAAGACAAAAAGGTAAGGGCTGGGGTTAAAGATATATGGGGGTCATTAGCATCAGGGTGTAGCTAAACCCATGATATTGGATAAAATCCTCTTACATATAGAAACCATCATATTCATCCTTAAATCCTTCGTCCCCTGCAGAGAGCTTTGCACAATGTATATGCTCAATAAAAGTGTGTCAATGAAATAGCTAAAAACAGATCCAGAATTAGTTGTATCCTTTATTTAAATTAAAATTGCTTCAGTGGTTATCGAAGTAATGCTAATTCAGGTTTTCTCAAATCAGAGTCTCAAATACAGGGTCTGTACATTTTTTTCACATGAAATACAACCAGTTTCATACACAAATAATTACAAATTCATCATTATCATAGATGTAATATGAAAGCAGAACAAAATTCTAAGACTCATAATTTCATTGATTAAAAAGCAGTATTGTTGGTTATCTTACTGGAGAAAAAAATTCTACTATCCACAGGATCACTTCTACCTTCATTCATTTAAAAACACAAAAAACTGGCTGGGCGCAGTGGCTCATGTCTGTAATCCCAGGACTTTGGGAGGCTGAGGCTAGCGGATCATGAGGTCAAGTGATCAAGACCATCCTGGCCAATATGGTAAAACTCTGTCTCTACCAAAAATACAAAAACTAGTCGGGCATGGTGGTGTGCACCCGTAGTCCCAGCTACTTGGGAAGTTGAGGCAGGAGAATTGCTTGAACCTGGGAGGCAGAGGTTGCAGTGAGTCGAGATTGTGCCACTACACTCCAGCCTGGCGACAGAGCAAGACTTCATCTTAAATTTAAAAAAAAAAAAAAAAAAACACCTTACTGAGGACCTACTCTGTTCATGGAACTGTGCTGAAATCTGTAAGGGATCTAAAAAGCATAAAAGTCCCTTCCTTAAAGGAAATTACAAAAGCAGGGTGGTGACACATACACCAGACCAGAATTTAGTTCCAAGTTCCAGATTTAGCAATTTTATGACCTTGAGCAAGTTACTTAACCTCTACAACCTTTAGTTACTAAACTTCTAAAAAGAAAATAGTGAAAACGCATACCTCATAAAAGGCAATGAGATTTACATTTTGTAATACATGTAGAGTGTGTATTATAATACTCCGTCAAAAGTGGTGGCCAGTATGATTACCATCATCATAAACTGATTGGGGAAGAAATACTCATAGAAATACTCATAGAAAAACCACTCAGTGAAGGATAGTCCAGAACATTATAAATGCCATTGAAGTGCTAAAGCGCTAGAAACGCAGACCCTTAGGAACCTGTTGAGAACAGTAGTAGTTACCACTGTGTTTTAACTTATTTAAACCAGCCCAATAAACCTATGAGTGAATAGTATTATTCCCATTTTCTAGATGAGAAAATTGACACCCAGGCAAGTCAAGTAACTTACCCAGGTTCACCCAGCCAAAAGTGGTGAAGCAGGAAATAAACCCAGGCTGTCCGGCTCCAGAGTCTGATGCCTAGCTGGCTCCTCAGGAAGAATCATGCATTTTTATAACTTACATTTTGAAAAGAAAAGAACTGAACTCTTTGAAAGTATTTGCCTTCAACTCAAAACTATTATACAAATACTATTCTACTCAAAATTGAAAGATTGTTTTAAAATATCTAAACAGGGCCAGGTGCGGTGGCTCACACCTGTAATCCCAACACTTTGGGAGGCCAAGGTGGGTGGATCACCTGAGGTCAAGAGTTCGAGACCAGCCTGGTCAACATGGTGAAACCCCGTCTCTACTAAAAATACAAAAAAATTAGCCAGGCGTGGTGGCCCGCACCTGCAGTCCCAGCTACTGGGGAGGCTGAGGCAGGAGAATCACTCAAACCTGGGAGGCAGAGGTTGCAGTGAGCCGAGATCACGCCATTGCCTCCAACCTGGGTGACAAGAGGGAAACTCCATCTCAAAAAAAAAAAAAAAACCAAAAATCTAAACAGACAAGCAGAGAGACTTTTCTAGGTTTGCTCAGGTCCTATTTCACAGATTCTGATAACTGTGAAGGAAGAAAGATTTAATGCGTCGCACTGAACACTGTGTAAGACAAAATCACGGTGCATCGTGGACAGATGCACAAAATCCAAAGTGACTCAAAGTGTAGGGGTTTGGGCTTAAAGCTCTGAGGCACCTTTATGAAATAAAATGACTCCATTTACCAACTCTCATTTTCTACTGTTCATAAGCACTTCCTTAAGCTTAATTTAATATATACCCCTCTCAGATGCAGAGTTTTAGGGGGTTGTTTTTCCCTTTACATGTGAATAATGTAACAGACTGATGGGATATATTCAGCCACTGTGTTGGGCCACCTTGGACTTTCATCAAATTTTGTTTTATTTAATTTTCAAAGACAATAATATGAAATACCCTAAATATCCAACCACTGAGTGATGGCTAAATAAACCATGTAGGCTGTGCTCACTCAGTGTTATATCACACAAAACACTAAAGATAATATTTCGCCAAGCAAGGCTGCATGCGCCTGAAGTCCCAGCTTCTCAGGAGGCTGAGGCAGGAGGATCACCTGAGCCCAGGAGTTCAAGTACAGCCTGGGCAACATAGAAAGACCCAATCTCAAGGAAAAAAAAAAGAAAAACAATAGCTATAAAGACTTGAAAAAATAGTATTATATATTAAGTGAAAAAAAAAAAACTTGCTACAAAATAGCATCGACAAGATGATTACATTTATGGATGAAAATGTATGCATAGGGCAAAAAAGCCTGAAGGAAATGTACCAAAATATTAAAAGTGATTTTTTGTGTTAATAATATGAGCCTGGGGAGATTTAATAGTCTTTCACTTTCTCAATGTTTCTTTATTTTCTGAATTTTCTTTGATACATATATTAGTTTTTAATTGCAGTAAACCAATATAAAAACAAAAAAGTTCAGTGTGCTATGCATTGCACTACAGAGCCTTCTTACACTTTTTAAGTGTTCAGAATATTTGTATTACAGACAGATTAGTGAATAGATGCCAAATTAGATAGATAGATAGATAGATAGATAGATAGATAGATAGATAGATAGATAGATAGACAGACAGACAGACATTCTTTTACCAAAACATTACAGAATAACTCCTCTTAGAAACACAGTCAAAATCTGGCTTCCCCATCCAATTCAGCTGTCTCTTTCTTTAAACCAATGAACCATCTATTTCTTTAAGGTAAATGTTACTTAAAAGCATCTTAGATGGATAGATCTGACTTTTTAAGCCCTAAATAGAGGGTACAGGTAACCAATTAATGTATGAATTACAGCCATGCGTCACTTAACAACATATGTTCTGAGAAAAGCATCCTTAGTTGATATGCTTGCTGTCATGTGAACATCATAGAGCGTACTTACACAAACTTAGATGGTATAGCCTACTCCACCCCTAGGCTTTATGATACGGCCTATCGCTCCTAGGTTACAAACCTGTACAGCACGTTACCACACTGAATACTGTAGGCGACTGTCACACAATGGTATCTGTATAGCTAAACATACCTAAACATATAAAAGATGCAGTAAAAATACAGTATAAAAGATTAAAAATGTTATACCTGTAGAGACCACTTACCATGAATGGAGCTTGCAGGAATTAGAAGTTGCTCTGGGTGAATCGGTGTGAGTGAAAGTGAAAGCATAGGACATTACTATACACTACTGTAGACTTTATAAACACTGTACACCTCGGCCACACTAAATTGATAAAGTATTTTTGTTTCTTCAATAATAAATTAGACTTAGCTTACTGTAACCTTTTTACTTTATAAACTTTTTATTTTTTAACTTTGGACTTTTTCATAATGCTTAGCTTAAAACATAAACACATTTTACAGCTGTAAAAAAAATATTTTCTTTATATCCTTGTTCCATAAGCTTTTTTCTATTTAAACGTTTTTAAGTTAAAAATTAAGACATAAACAGGTCAGGATCATCAATATCACTGTCTTCCACCTCCATGTATTGTCCCCTAGAAGCTCTTCAAGGGGCAATAACAATGCCTTCTTCTGAAATACCTCCTGAAGAACCTGCCTGAGGCTGTTTTACAGGTAATGTTTTGTTTTAGAAGCAAAAGCAGTACACTCTCAAATAATAATAATAATAAGTATAGTAAATACACAAACCAGTAACATAGTTGTTTATTACTATTATCAAGTATCAAGTATACTATTATCAGTATACAATTAGGTATACGTATATACGTATATAACTGGCAGTGCTATAGT